CACCGAGAATACCTTACATAGTAGGTCTTCGAGAGGATTCATGCTAGAATCCTCGATTATCAGCCGGAGAAACGTTGTCCTTTACCTTGGTGCTGCTTATTTCCATCTTTTGGATACAGCGAGTTAGGTTGCCCTCTTAGTACAAGCTGCTAGACTGTTTAGAGCCAAGTTTGTGACTTGCCTGTTATAAAGCTTACAAACATGAAGGAAGAATCTGACATTTATTTTGAAAGTCTCCTCATTTCTGATTTCTTTCTCTTGTTCTCCCTCTGTCTTGATGTACTCACAACACAGAATTTTACTTTGACTTGATCTGGTCATGTTTCTTGTTGTATTTCTTTTTAAAGCTGCCTTAGATCCTTTCTAGGTGGGGAGGAAAAAAAAAAGGGAGGGAATGAGAGAGGCAGCAGGAGAGAGAAAGAAAAGAGGGAAACTGCCCTTTCATGTTACAAGCCTTGTGTGTCTTGCTGGTTTCTTCTACCTATGTACAACCATAGGAAGATGACCAAGAAATTTTTGCAGTTTCCAAGTAAGTTTCGACAGATAGAAAGCTTTCCCCAATTTTACCAAGGAAAATGCAAAAGATTAAACTAATCTTAAAGAGGGTGGGAAGCTAAGCTTGGTGATGATATAATAAAGAAAAAAAATCATTCTGTAAGACAGTAGATCAAAGATATGAATTGTGCAGCAAAGTCCGCAAATGGAGGAGGGCCACAGGTGAGAACAAGAAACTGGAAGGGAAGAGCTGACCAGATTGCAAGACAAAATTTCAGCACAACAAGAAGTGAGAATGAGAGAAGTGAGAAGTGAGAGAAGAGATGACAGGACAAAGCCTCATCCCTGAATCAGAGTTCACTGCAATCAGGACAGTCAAAGAAAAAAGGATTAGCGTAATAACATTTTATAAGAACCATGCTTCACTAATATATAATTTGGCTTTATCCCCACATACACCTAACTTGTAATTCAACTGCCGCTACGTCATTCCTTAACAACCCCACCATCTCCTCCACTGAAATGAGGAAAGGGAAGTATTACTCCTTTAAACTATAATTATCTAGGCTTTCACCAGACTCTGCTTTTATATTGAGCTGAGAGAGAGATTTATAAAGTTAGTAAAGCTTAGCTTAAAAAAAAAAAACCTTAATTCCACAAACAAGAGACTAAAAGGATGAGATAGACGGTATAGTCTCAACACTAGAAGGGATCTAAGCAGTTATCTAAACCAATTTCCTTATGTTATCATGAGGAAAAGCTGAAGCCCCTGAAAAAGCAACTTGACATTTAATCTGTTTATAAATTGAGCACAAATCAATGTAAATAAACAATAAAACAAACAAAACCACACAAAATGTGTTGAGTATCAGGAATAGGATAACATTCAAATTCTTTAAGGAGTTCTGGAGGCCTACCCTACGGGGCCTACCACCTCCTTCCAGCCTGCTCCCTCTTCACACCAATTTCCTGGAAACCCTTTCCTTGAAACGTCTTTGGTCAAGCAAATAAGAAAGGAATTTAAACCAAATCAGAGTGGACTAATTGCCTCTTTCCAACTCATGCCTGAAAGATAAAACATGGCTTTTTAAAAAATAGTACTGAAAATATGTTATTGTTATTATTATTAATACTATCAAAGATACTTTAATAATAACTTAATGAAATCAATGTGTTAATTGTATTGCCAATTTATTGATTTCATATTAATATCAAATATTAAAAGGCTTAGAAATATGTGTTTTAAATGGAATTGGTTCCAAATCAAGTAGAAATCTGTTGACTCCTGTATAAATATTCATGTTCAAGTAAAATCTTTCCCACTGGATGTTCTGAATGGATGTTTATCAACAGGAATGAAGGCAAGAATTATGAGTTGCAATTGTCACTAACTACCCTTGTGACACCACAAGACAATGAGAATAATCTATGGTATGTGTTTCATTCCCATTTAAATGGGAAAAAATAGCTTCTGTATTCTGTTGCAGCTCTGACATGATCTTATGAATGAACTTTTGTCCTTCCCTGGCTATTGTTTGGTTGTACATATGCAGCCTGGTGCTTTTGTAACCAGATATAGAAAGTTTAGTGATCATGAAGATTAATACTAGTATACAGTTTAGAGTCTGAAAACAGTAACAAAAAACATTATCTATTGTGATTTCTGAGTTGGGAAACACATTACAAAATTGTACTAAGTTGGCTTTTAAAGAAAAACAAAATCAAAATATTCTGTATATCTTTGGTTTGATTTCTTTTAGTCAGACAAAAAGCCTTAGCTTTGGAATGGAGCCTCTACAGTGACACCATATAATTAGTAGGTGACTAACCTCCAATTTGGTAATCCCCAGTCTACCTCTGCACTTTTCTGCTCCCTTCCACCTAACTTTTAACCTTCCTTTGGGAATTAAGTGCTCGTTTCTAAGGTAACTTCTTCCATTTGCTTTGTTTTTGGCAGAGGAGATAAGAAATAGCCTTATATAGTCAGGCCCCAGATGACCTTAGAGTTTATTTAGGGTTTTGCAGAAAAAAGATTTGCTGGAGATATCAGCACTGAGTGTATTGTAATGCTTTCAAACCCACTAAAGGAGTTTAAATCCATTTTCACGTGGCTTGTTACAGCATGACTTCTGATGAGCAAAAATCATCGTCCTGGAAGTTTAGAAATGGTTGGACTCTTCTCCTATTCTTTTATGATTCCCCAGACACATCAACCAAGGGAGTTGCCAATTGTCCCTTCACTTCCTTGTACCTCTCCAATAATTGACTTCCTCCTCATTCTCACTATTTCTATGTGTCTTTCTATGATCTCTTCCAAGAATGATGTTAGTAGCTTCACTTACTTATTGAGTGACTTTGAATGACAAAGGAATTGTTATTTAACATTTTTTTCTTTTCAAAATTGAGATAATTTTAGTATCCACCTCAGAGACATGGCATCCAGATTAAATTATATGATAATCTCTGTAACAATGCCAAACTAAATATTTGCTAAATACTAGAATACAATATTCCTAATACATATATTTACATGCTTGAATTCATAAAAATGATGCAAGTTTTTGTGTCTAGATTTTCATCAAAGATAGTGATTTTTTTGTTGCTGACACAAACAAAGTCTATTTTTCCCAAACAAAAGTTGAATCACTCTGGAGCAGCACAGAGGCACAAGAGAAGCATATGACCCAGTAATTGTGTAGTAAGGAAGCTTTTGAATAATGATTTCTGGTCCTTTTAAGGACTGTAATTATAGTGTTTAAATGTTCACAGCAATCATCAGGGGACCATTTACTGAAAGTACGTTTGTCCTAAAAATTATTGAAAACTTCATTCATAACCCTGTTTTCATTAATGAGGATTATGTCAATAGAATGTTAAATGTTTTTATTTCTGACTTTGGAGGTTTAAGCTGGTAACAACCTGAAAATGCATCAGAATGAGCCCTGAAGTGGGGGAGCAGCTGAAACCCAGGGTAGTAAGGTCTCATTGGATGTCTGAGTTGGCTGAAATGTTCTCTTCCAGACAATGGGTGTACTCTCTTACAAACAATGGAGGGTGGTAGGAACTTAGAGTAATTGTTAGTTCTAACTGTGCAAATCAAAATTTGAATGCTTAGCTTATCAAATAATTGCTTTACTGTGTCAGGCACAATAGTGTTTTACCACAGAAATTTATTATCAAAATCAAATGAACTCTAGGCGTGTTACTAAGTAACGCAAAGGAATGAAGATGAAGATTTCATGGGATTTTCCAAGATGTTTAATTATTTGTCTTATTTCTCAACCAGAACATGTGGGCTAGAGCTAATTAGAATGAAGGTTAAATCATTTGATTTCTACTTACAGTCAAGTCTGAATCTGTGCGATAAATTTCCTTGGAAAAATTTGCCATATTTTACTAAATTCAAAGCCATTTCCTCCCTAAAGTTTTCATGTTGAATTTTGACCTTTTCCTCGGTGTCTGTATATTACATCGTTTGGCAAGATTCACATATTCCCAGGTAGATCCTGACATTTTGTTGTTTAGAAAATGAATAATTTTTAAATTGTGGTAGCATTGTTTACAACATTGTATATGATTTAGAAGAATAAGTTAATACCTCTTCAGATGTATGTTACCACACCGCACCCATGGTCCTCCATCATAGTCCAATAGCCCCCCACCCTTTTCCTCTATATCTCCTTCCCCCTCGGGTACATTCAATTCTATGGTCAAATTTCTAGAGTTTGTTTTTGGTTTGGTTTTGTCTCACTCTTTGTTTTGTTTCTCTAAAAGGAATATTGATTTTAATTAGTTCCAGTGGATCAGCAGTTCTCAATTCAGATAAACTGAAAACTAACATGCCAAGATACTTTTGCTTTACTATTCTTTCCTTCCAAAGGAAGGGAGAAAATATTTTCCCACATTTGAACAGCAATAGAAGTGTTGCAGACCAAGAGCTCTGTGCCAACAGAGCTGATCCATGAATAACCAAAATAATAAAGAAAATGGTTGCTTCCCTTCTGTTGTACTACACAATTACTTATAGGCATACCTATTGAGGATCTAGAGACAGAACATGAAACTACAAAGATATAACCCCAAAGTCAGTGTATGATAAAGAATAAAACTACCATTTGAGAAAATAAAACCCAGATAGTATGACTCAGGATTGCAAACATTTAGAGTTGCCAAATGCTCCAGTTGGACCTTTGGTAGTTTTCCATGGAGGTATTCGACTCAGGTTTTACCTGATGACATGATCTGAATTTACACTGTACTTCCTTTCATGAAGCAGTGAACATTATATATTTTTCCAATTGTTCCAAATATCAAGTTAATTTCAAACTTTAGAAGGATGTTTTGGGGTGGGGGGTGTAACTTAATTTGCCATTTTTTAAAACCCTCTTATTAATTTCTGAGTTTATAAATTAAAACGTGAGCCCTAAAGATTGATTCTAGAACTGCAAACAAATTAGATCTTTTCTAAGTATATTTGTTTTTCATAATACCTTTTATGCAGCAACCATAATATTTTGTGTGTGCTGTTAGACTGAGGAGCTGTGAAGAAAGGAGATATAAACAAGGAAGATCACTGTCGAGTTGGAATGAAATTGGAGATATAAACTCATTATTTATAATATATAGAATAACCTGGCAGCAAAGACGACTGCTATCAGCTTCTCTCTAGACACACATGCCATTGTCTATATAAAGTGGAGGAAGCTTTGAGGATACCTCCTTCTAACCCTGAATTTCAAGAACAATCTAATGGTAAGGGTTTTTTTTTTTTTTTTAAACATTTATTTATTTATACAAGAACTGGGGTACAGGCCAGATGCGCAGCAGGGTGAGAGGATTCACCAGAGACAGAGTGGGGAACAGAACAGACAGACTGATGAAATACACTGCTGAGGGGAGCAGCGAGAGAGACAGGAGAGGTCTGCTGCGCCATGTGGGACCTTCGCCGGCTGGCCAGGATCGAACCAGCGCTGCAGAGGCTGCGGACAAATTCACAGCACAGCGCTCAACCACCTGCGCCACCAGGGGAGCCTTAATGATAAGGGTTTAATACAAAAATTGTGGTAAAATATGATATTTAAATTTGGGATACCCAAAAAGAGAAATTCTAGTCAAAGTCAGACATGCTTCCTAAAATTTAGGAAGTTAAATATCAAAATGTCCAAAGACAGTTAGACATAGATCCATCTTAAAAGGGGAAAAGTGACTCAAGAAAAGCATAGTGATTGTTCTACATTTAACATTTTTGAATAAGAAGAAATAACTTACTGTGTAAAACTTTATGGTGATTCCTCAAAGTTAAAATAGAGGTATCATATAATCCAGTAATTCCACTTCTGGGTATCTACCTCAAGAATATGAAAACATTCATTCAAATGATATATGCACTTTTATGTTCATTGCAGTACTATTCACAATTGCTGGAACCCAAGTGTCCAACAACTGATGGGTGGATTTAAGTTGTAATATACATGTGGAATACTAGTCAGCTATGAAAAAGATGAGATCTTAACATTTGAGACAACAAGGATAGACCTTGAGGGGATCATTCTATGTGGAATAGGTCAGAAGGAGAAAGACAAATGCTGTATAAGTTCACTCATTTTTAGAATATAAAAGGAAAAAAGCAATTGAACAAATAAAACAAAAACGCGTAGGTTGGTGGTAGATGTTGATTGGACATTTGGTGGTGGGCATGGTATGATAAATAGAGCTGCTGAGGTGAGAAACTATACACCTGAATTCTACAGTGTCATAAACAAATGTTACTTCAATAAGAAGAAAAGGGGGGAAGGGAAGAAGGGACTTACTAATATAATTACAAAGGATATGTCTAGATTTTAAATGGCCAGTAGAAAATAAGGAAGAATAACAAATATATCGTAGTAGAGATTAGACTCCAAAATAAAATTGCTTCTTTTAGTCTAGCTTCATTACAGATACCTGACTTTGTCAAAGTACTTAATTTCTTATCTGTAAAACAGGTTAATAATACAAACCTTACATGATATTGTGAGTGTAAATAAGATAATGTATACAAAATTACCAATAAAGATTAGGTTAAAGCACAGCACATAGTTAAGGTAAACATTAAATGTGAAACAGGCCCACTATAAAAACTGTAAAACAAAAGTTAAAGCTAGAAACAAACCAAGACTTGCAACAAAATCAAGAATAAACAAAAAATATTTTTTTAGTTAAGTCCAGCTCAGGTGTCCCAGAGCAGAGTGAAAATTTTCAGTTTATTCATTAAGCCATTGTCTGCAACTTTAAGGAAATGATCTCATAAAACCGTCTTTGGAGATAGAAGAAAGGTTACTATTTTTCCAAATTTGAAAAATGGTAAATCTGTAAACTCTAAGCTGGTGACTTTGACATCAGTCTCTCACACAAATGTGATTTTTGGAATACTTAGACTAAAAGCTCATTAATATTAACAAGTGATTAAGGAAGTTTTTTTCATTTTTTAAGAGAGTTTAAAAAGGTGCTATTACAGATATAGTAACACAAACAAAAAATTGACTAAAGGACAAAATTAAATTAGAGTGAGGCTTTGTAATAATATTGTGCCATTGACTGTCCAAGGCTATGTAAATGTGTGTTTATGCATAAAATTTTAGTCATTGACTGTAGTGATGACAAATTGGCAATGTTTTTAAATAAGAAATCATTAAGGTGACATGAAGGCAGCAGCAATAAATGTCACAGAGGCATTTTTCAGGAAGATACACGACAATGGTGTTTGGTAAATTAATACTATGGGGACAGGAGGAGAAAAATGTAGAGTGTTTGATATGAAAAGGAAAGGTTTTTCAAATGATATGCTGGAGAGACTGTTTTAGAGATGACTGGATTTGAAATGCTGAAGATTAGACAAATTCCTTTGCAACTCCTTAGAACAGAATGGAAACAATTGCAGTCATATCCACCCACAGAGTCCATGGTTCAACCTACCTCTCAGGATTTGGAGAAAAGTAAGATAAGAAAAATACTTAACACAGTGCCTGACACCTACCAACTGCTCTTATACAGGGTAGCTATTGCTATTGTTTATTCTCTGGATTTTTTTTTCTTCCTTCATTGGTTTTCTTACTGATCTGAAAACAAATCCAATATAAATTCAGACTTATTCAATCAATTGCTATATATCACTTTTAGAATTCGATGACAATGAAGGAGATGAATAAAATTTTAGAAAGCAAATAAGAATAAAATTTATTATGGCTGCCATTATTTCCCAGTGATATTCTCCCAAGAGGCACTGCCCCTTATTCACTCATCCATCAGAGATGGTAGCAGAGAAGAAACAATTAATTAGATTTTCTTTTAACTGAGAAGAGCTATTCTTATTTTCTATTCCTGGACTCGGGGATTTACCTGTGGGGACTGTTTCAGACACTTTAAAGTGGTGCTTCTATACTGAACTAAATACTTGACAAGCCAGCCCTCAGCAAATTTGCCACGCATATTTATGTAACCTAGTAACGAGACTCTGGTGGAGACGTATTTCCAATAGAAAACATCACCGAACCATGCTACAATTGGTTAATGAATGACTACAATAGTTAAACCTTCCTGAAATAATTGCCTTGCATTAAAGTGGCTCCTGAGTCATTAAGTTTCAAAGACATTTATTTGGTCTTGTTTTCTTGTAGTGTTCAAGGTCACCTGTGACTTTTCCACAGTCAAGAAAATAGACTTCATATTTATGAAAATACTTCAGCTTATGGTAAACCTGATACACTCCTTAACAATAAGCAAATTTTAAAATACACATTACAGTAGTGTGATTTATCATCATCATCATTTCTATCAGCATCATTAAAGAAAGAGAAATAATTAGAAATTACCCAAAATTTTTCAGAAAACCAATTCCAACTTCAAATTTGTGTGAAAATTTGAGGGATGCTATAAGAACTTAACATAGTTTCCTTGAATTTATGAGTACTTTACTCCACCTTGTTCTTTTTCTCCATTATCATTTATTTTCTTACAATCATTCTTATTCAATCATTCTTGTCTCTCTCATAGTCTTTTCTCTCCACTGCTCATTATGGAAAAGTCAAAGAAAACCCAGAGTTTATATGTGAAATCTCTAATAGACTATATTAGGAAATATACTTGGCCTTTATCCCCAGTTCTGCCCCTTAAATTTCCTGAATGACAGGAGGGTAATTTCTTACTCATAACAAGCCCTTTTTGATGACACTTGTTTGTAAGGAGATGATATAGGATGGGGTCCTCAGATAATATCAGCATGGAGCTGATGGCCAGACTAAGAGATTAGAGGCATGAAATTTTTAGCTTCCTTCATCCAACTCCTAGAAGGGAAGGGCTTATTGGAGATTACATTCTATAAAAGCTCTGGGAGCTTCGAGGTTGGTTAACATGCTGATATTCTGGGAAGATGCTCCAGTGTGCACCTGGAGACAGTGCGTAAGGTGGTTCTACCTTGTTCTGTACATCTCCCTCATTTGAATGATCCCGAGTTGTACCTTTTATATTAAACTGGTAAAAATAAATGTTTTCATAAATTCTTTGAGCTATTCTAGTGATGTAGCAAACCTAAAGAGGGGCTGAGGGAACCCACAATATATAGCCAGTCAATCAGAAGTATGAGTCGCCCTGGGCTTTCCACTGAAGTCTGGAGTGCGGCAGCCTTGTGGGACTTAGTCTTTAATCTGTGGGCAACAAAACTAACCCCAGGTATGTAGCATAGAAACTGAATGGAATTGCTAAACACCCAGATAGTGTTGGAGAATTGGCTGATAATGAAAAACACTGTACTACAAATGCTTCAAAATTAATAGCTAATTAGATAACTGCCTGCAATAATTAGTTCCTTGTTTATTAATGAAGTATTCAAGGGTTATTTATTATATTTGTATTTTGTACTCAAGAGCTGAATGTTGCTCACATTTTAAATTTATTTTTTTTTGTAAGATTTATTTATACAAGCACTGGGCACAGTTAAATGCGCAGGAGGGTGAGAGAATTCACCAGAGCCAGAGCTGGGAGCAGAACAGGCAAAAGGACCGAAGTACACTGCTGAGGGGAGCAGCGGGCGGCAGGAGAGGTCTCCACACCATGTGGGACCCTCGCCCCGTGGCCAGGGATCGAACTGGTGCTGCAGAGGCTGCGGGCAGCTTCGCAGCCCAGTGCTTAACTGCTGTGTCACCAGGGGAGGCCCTCACATTTTAAATTTAAATGTAGATTTAAAAGTAGAACAGGTGGGACATTCTGATGTAACCTTCTCTCTCAAAGGTCACTGAATTTATAAATGCCAAGCAGTATGAAGACATTTTACGTAAATTTTACATAATAGGTCTTATTTAGGGGTCTCCCTGGTGGCGCAGCAGTTGAGCGCTGGGTTGCGAAGCTGCCCGAACGAGGCCTCCGCAGTGCCGGTTCGATCCCCGGTTGCTCCCTGGCCACCGGAGGAGGGTCCCACATGGTGCGCAGACCTCTCCTGCTGCCCGCTGCTCCCCTCAGCAGTGCACTTTGTCTGTCTGCCTGCTCTGTTCCCCACTCTGGCTCTGGTGAATTCTCTCACCCTCCCGCGCTTCTGACTGTACCCAGTGCTTGTATAAATAAATAAATAAATCTTTAAAAAAAAAATCTATAAAAAAAATTAAAAAAATAAAATATACATGGAATATGTGATTATTATTACACTAGCTGAGAGAATTTTCTCAAATTTCAAGAGCCATCGCTTCATGTGGGGTTAATACCAGGTGGACAAATGGTTGCCTTAGATGAAAATGTTAAATCAGAGGCATTGTGTTTATTTTAAAATATGTATATATACATATATATGTGTGTATATAATTTATAATATATATATGTGTATATGTGTGTATATACATATATAATTTGTGAAACATCTGTATTAGAATAAGATTTGCATTACAGATAATTTCTTCACATACTATTTATATTAGATTCTCTTATAAAATTATTTGAAATATTTTTTCAATGGTTTAGGGGATGGCCAAAAAACAAGCTAGATCTAAGCTATTGGGTAGTGGTGAGAACTCTGAAATATTATATTTGCAAGTAAAAGCTTTCATAATTAACCTATTAAAAAATAGAAAGTGGGAAAATAATTAAAATTTCAATAATACTATGGAATGTAAAACCCTGTCTACAATAACAGCAAAAGAAATAAAATCAAGACAAATAATCATAAAATGGCAAAACTATGAAGAATTTAATTATAAACCCTCAGTCTACAAATTTAAGAACTGCAAACAAATTTTGATCTTTCCTTGGTGACTTGCTTTTCATCATGGTATATGTATATAGCAATCCTGAAACTACTTTGTGTTGTGTTATTAAACTAGACAAGAATGGCAATACCAACAAGGGAGATCTTTTTGGAGTTGGAATGAAATGAAAGGCTTCAGTATAAATTCATCTTTTCCTATATAAATAGTGACTTGTCTCCAAAGATGGTTACTATCAATGTCTTTCCTCCTGTACATGCATACCAGTCTGCTTTAGACAGTGGTATCTATTTCTCCAGTCTGGGCTTGTCTAGGTCTACTTCCACCAATAGAATATTCAGGAAGGGACACTGCTCCACTTCCAGTCTTTGTCTTTAAGAGGATTGTCAGTTCCGCTTCCTCCTCTCCCTGTTGGGACACCTCCTGTCAGAACCCACCTGTCATGTTGTGGAAGCCCAACTGCATTAAGAGGCCACCAAGAGCTGCTCCAGGTGAGAGGTCTAGCTGATCTCTCAACCAACAGCCTCTACTGCCTGCCCTTAGATGTCCATTCCAGTTGAGTCCTCTTTTTTTAAGAGATATTTATTTATGCAAGAACCAGGGTACTGGCCAGGTGTGTGGGAGGGTGAGAACAGGTAGACTGACTGAAATACACTGCTGAGGGAAGCAGTGGGCGAAACAGAAGAAGTCTGCCATGCCATGTGGGTATCTCCTCAGCCAGCTGGGATGGAACCCGCACTGCAGAGGCTGCAGACAGCTTCACAGCACTGTGCTCAAACCACCTGCACCACCAGGGAGGTCCCATTCCAGTTGAGTCTTTAGACAACTTCATATCTAGTCATCATTTAACAACAGCATGGGAGATGCAAGTGAGAATTGCTCAACAGCATGGGAGATGCAAGTGAGAATTGCTTAACTAAACCTCTTTAACACACACAACTGTGAAAAACAATAATATATTGTTTTTTCAGTTAGCTGTGTTTTGAGCTTAGTTGTGTAAAAATAGAGTTGAAAACTGCTAAAAGTCCCTGGAATCAATACATCACAAGAAACAATGATCTCAGTGTCCAGATTTTTCAAAATTCATTTCCCACTAAGAAGAAACCTATTGATTGTTTTAGAAATATTTGATTCTGCAGCTGAGGCAGGAATGTACAAAATGAGTCTAGAACAACTCATATTAGAAGATGCATAGAAGATAGACAGATAGATAATCAAGTTGAAAGGACACAAGTACACAGTTTGAAAGAGATATGGAACAATTTTAGAATCAAATTAAATGAGTAAGTAATGGATCAAAAGATAGTTGAGTAAGAAGTAATCTATGAGCTCATACTGATAAGAAAGAGAGAGGAAGACAGGAGGGAGGGACAGAGGAAGGAAAGGAAAAAAAGAGATACTAAAATGATATTTCTTCCATAAAACATAGTGCTCTCGAATTTAGTTTATCCTCCTAGCTTTCCTTCCAACTCTTCTCCTTATTCCTCTACACTTCTACCACCTGGGATTAACTACCAATCTCTAAACAAGTCATGCATTATCACACTTCCTTCTCTGTGATCTGTGTTCTCCTGTTTTTCCTATTCAGGAGAAAAACTTCACCCACATTTTACTTAGCCTTTAAGACCTTGACTCAAAGTCACCTCTTTGTAAGGCCTTCCTCCCATCACAGCTTTGCCCTTCTCTCAGATGACGTGATGATGTGATCACAGTGCAGTAGAGTTCGCCAAAGTAGTTTATGTAAATTATATTATATACTTTAAACAAACAAGCCTGTGAACGCCTTCATAAATCATTGGTCTGTGAAGGCCAAAACTGTCTTATTTTTATCTTTGCCTGATACCCAACACCATGTACCTTCAAAGGCTCAATGAAAGTTGTGGAATTCTTTGCTTAGGGACGTTGTACCCTACAGTTGGCCTCTCCTTTCAAAAGACCTTATTTTCAAGTTAAGTGGTGGAGGCAGTGATCTTTCCACTGCAATGAAGATCAAAAGTGAAACTAGTCCACAGGCATCTTATGTATATAGAAGGTTTATCAAAGATAGCATTTATGACGAATTGTAATTCTTTTTTCTTTTAGTAACATCTTCCAAAGTGTTATCCCAGGAATATTATTCTTATGAGATATGAAACAAAGGAAAAGAAAATACAGTGATTTAATAAATACGTCTGCTTCACTGAATATTTGATGGCTTCAAACTAATAATCACACATCTCAGGAATAAAGTATGACCATTAACCTCTTTTTTTTTTTCTAAACCATTTTTAGCTTTCCTGATTCATGATGAGTGTGACAGAGTATCTCATGGTACTGTGAGGGGACCAGATTACCCCAGGAAGGGGGTGGTGAGTCAGAACCATGAAGTTCCTGGTTAACCAAGACTACACTGCCTTAAGTACTTAAGAATTAATGGATGATGTTAAGAAAATCTCATGCAAAGAAGAAGGTATTTATTGCCTTTGTGGTTACAACTTATGACCTGCTGTATATAAAAATAATCATGTGTCACTCCAGAGGATAATACAGTGCTTGTTAGTTAACTGGATGCTAAGCTAGTAGTAAAAATAACATTGATTACTTCGAGAGCAACAGGAGATCCTATACCAGGAGGTTTTAACTATTTCTATACCACAAGACTTTTTTTTTTTAAAGATTTATTTATTTATTTATATAAGCACTGGGTACAGTCATAAGCACAGGAGGGTGAGAGAATTCACCAGAGCCAGAGCGGGGAGCAGAGCAGGCAGACTGACGAAACACACTGCTGAGGGGAGCAGCGGGCAGCAGGAGAGGTCTGTGCACCATGTGGGACCCTCACCTGGTGGCTGGGGATCGAACTGGAGCTGCAGAGGCTTCAGGCTTCAGGCAGCTTCGCAACCCAGCGCTCAACCGCTGCGCCAACGGGGAGGCCCTATACCAAAGATTTTTTGAGACGCTAAGGAGAATAGTTATCAAATCTTTATATGTCATGCTCTTGAGATGACAGGCTAACAGGTCCTAGTGCCTCTTTTCTCTGCCATGGTTGCATAATTTTTGTGTGAAATTAATTATTTGTGTGTGCTGTGCTTTTTCAAAATCACTCTTGGGACATCAAACAACTTCTTAGAACTCTAAACATTCATTTAACTTCTCCAGAAACTTTTTGGCAGAAATACTAAAGCCCAAGACTCATTGCAAACTTCCTAACGAAACTTTTTTTCCATAAATAGAAAATGTTGAATTGCATGGTTTATAAGTTCCAAGATAATCTTTTTCCTAATAAAATGTAAAATATATAAATAAGGTGTTTATATACAAAGGAATTAGATCTACTCTTTACTGTCTTATATGGGCCCTCCTAAGTCACCAGTTGTCAATAAAAAATTTTATAAATTCCTAATTACACAGCCAATATTGAAGTTAATATGACTATTCTATATATTTGAATCAATATATTATTTTCTTTATTAATCCTGAAACAGCAGAACTACTTTTATGACTGATTCTATGTTAAAAGAAACTCTTCTTTACAATAATATATTCACTTACTACTATATTTTCCTAAAAATGATAAGAAAAAAAAAGCTCAGGCTACAAAATTCCACAAATGTACAAGCAGCTCTAAGAATTCAGCTGAAGGGAGTATAATTAAGGTTTTTTTTTTTTTTAATTTTGGTATTTGACCTCAAAATAGAATGGGAGATCTACAGCAGCTGCAGCCTATACATGGTTCGGATTATTTCTCTCTTCTAAAGTTGACATTAACTATTAAGTTATAACACTTGAAAAATCCAGTTAAGTGTGTACTATAGAGTTAAAAATAATTCAGTTAGGTTTCAACAAGATTTGATTTAGGGAGCTACTTTAAGAATAGGAAATAAAAACATCACAAAAAGAATTCTGTGATATACAACTAACTTCCTAAGACCTAAAATATGGAGAAACTTGAACATCTTGTCCAATTTTTCGTCCCTGTGTCTCATTTGTGTTGTGGTGAGAGCTTTATAAACACAAGGTTGATGTATAATCAGCCAAGGTCTCAAAGGGCAGCAATTTCTTACTCTGTTTTGGTTGGGACTTTGATCTTATCTCTTCTGCTTATCCCAAACCAAATTCCTGTTCCCCCAACAGTTACTCCAGTTTGGGAGCCAAGGAGAGCAAAAATACTCTTCTATTGGGAGAGAGACTGACTGGAGAGCTGGGTCGGGGAACAGGAGAAAGGCTAAAAAGCAAAGAGCATTTGAGCCATGGGGCGAATCCCAGACATCTTACAAGAGAGAACTCAGGGCCGGGCCACATGGAGTCAGAGTCTAGTGAGGAACTCTGTATTTAGCCACTCTGTAAAAATTAAACCACAATAAATGGTTGCTTAATAATAAACTATTTTATTGCAATGTTTTACAAAGTATTGCCTCCGAAATCATTCAAATTGCCCAGAATTAGATATGCAGACTTAAAACTGACATACAGGTTTAGAAAACTCTATCAGAAGAAAAAGGGAGATATATTTTGTCAATGTTCCTGTGGCATTTTACTCATATCCTATCAGGTTACCTCAGTCTTCTGAGGGGTAAGCTGGTTGATATCAATACGAATGTATCTCTGATTACTTGTCTGACTCTAAGAAGTAAGCCTAAGGTACTTCTAAAGGCATGGCTTAATATTTCATGACTGTGTAATATCAGTATGATATGGCCTCTCTCTTCTTCACTCTCCATGTCACCTTAGTCACAAGTTTCACCTATTTGAAATGATTCTCGAATAAGGTCCCTCTTCCATCATCTGTTATTACATCAATTCACTCTTTCTGGTGGGCTATCCCCAAGGTTGCCAAGGTTATCATTTCAATAAGCATGTGGTAAACTCACTCTCTCTTGCATGCAGGATAAAGCCCAACTCTTTGGCATGGTCTATAGCACCTTTTGCAGCCTGGCTTCATTTGACCATCATCTAAGCTCATGGCTACCATCCCAGTCTGTCACCTGTGCACTTGGGATTCTGCTTTATTTCTCCAACTGTGCTAGACCTTCTGCCTCTTCCTAGGCTATTCCCTCTCCCCAGAAAGACATTTCTTTGGCCTTTCCCTGTTGAGTTCCTATAAATCTTTCAAATATTAACTTCTCCGTAAAGTTTTCTTTGATCCACCCACCACCCATCCTCACTCCTACAGGGATAGATTAAGTGTGCACCTTTGTTCCTATCACATTTTGCTCATACGCTATCAGGGTACCTAATACATTTTCCTGGTAGGACATAGAGACCAACTTTAAGGATGACTCTGTCACAAATCAATATGTGACCTCATTCAGACCACTGTACCTCCCCTTATTTAATTTCTATAAATTGGGAAGTTGTCTGTAAAATGGGAATAAATTTAGCTACCAAATGGAGTTGTCATAACAAATCAAAAATGCATTAAAGCATTAACACAGTTCCTGACCACATTAAAATTCATCAAATAAAATATAGCTATTCTTAATTGCAATAGTCATTATGTTAATTGTTTAAGCATCTATATAAGGCTTATTAAAACTCTGTGAGGGTGGGGGCCTCCCTGGTGACGCAGGGGGTTAAGCACTGCACTATGAAGCAATCTGCAGCCTCTGCAGCATGAGTTTGATCCCTGGCTGGCCAGCGAGCAATCCACATGGCACAGCAGTCCTCTCCTGTCTCACCTGCTGCTCCCCTCAGCAGTGTATTTCAGTCAGTCTGCCTGTTCCGTTCCCTACTCTGTCTCTGGTGAATCCTCACCAACCCCCCACATCTCTGGCCTGTACCCCAGTTCTTGTATGCATAAATAAATAAATCTTAAAAAAAAAAAAAAAAACTCCATGAGGGTAACAACTGACATTTTATATAGTCACATAAACACACACATTTAGTTTTTTAGTTTATCTCCTACATATCTAAGTATATTTTCTCTTTTCTGCTCTAACTCCCTTTTCTGACATAGGAACATGTCCAATCTGAAATGGATGCACTGAGGCCTGGCTGCCATGATCACATAGGGCTTACAGGAAAACATGCTTTCTAGTGACTACAGAGGTTAAGTAATATGCTGAGAATTTTTATTCTAAATTTATATAGTTCCTTTCTTTTAATAAGTCCCAAAGTATGTTTGGTGAAAGTAATAGCAATGAGTAGGGTGAATGCTTGGAAGTGCACATGGACAGCATATTTATGATGAGGGAATAAATAATTCATAATAAATATGTTTATACTTGTTTGTGACTTCCCAATAATTCTTTCAGATGTCCTAAACATTCCTCAATTCTCCTAAAGGGATTAAATTAATAAGCTATATGGAATCAATGTGAACAAAATTTTCATCATAAATATCCCTTAGCATTTTATATGTTAGATTATATTAAGGTCCCATGAAGAAATATGCCATTTCACAAACTGTATTTCTAACCACCAAATAGATTCCAATGAGTGATTTGCATCTTGTAAACAAATGAGTGACAGTTGAAATCACACTGCTGAAAACAAAACACGGAATTCTTGATTTCTGTGTTGTGATAGCATTTATTGACATGAACAGTGCTTACTTCTTGCATCATCCAGAGTTTTGCAGAATCTTTAAAATTATGTGTTTTAATTATCTTTATATTACATATTTAGTTAAATTTAAACCATTATTACATATTTGTATATATTTGAATATTAAATTTAAATTTCTCCATATTTAGATAGTATAAAAAATTCTTAATTCTCCATACCTGAAATGAGCAATGACACTGGAAATTCTTTTAAGTGTAAATGTTTCTATTGAGGCTGCAATGGAGCCAACGCTGCAGAAAACAGTACTTCACCTCCATTATTTTATCTAGATGTCAGAGGCTTGAAAATAACTTGGATTTCTTTAAAGGAACCACTTCCCAAAGAAATAATGATATTAAAAAATCAAAATCCATTAGGCATAAAGAACAAGTTTTTAAAGTTCAGAAATGGATGGATTTTCTGTGCTCATAAAAACCAGGCATATGGGCATCAAGATTCCAAGAACTGTCTTCAGACGCTGAGAAATGTTAAAAAAGACTTCCAGTCTGCTCTCTCCTTCCTACTTCCAGGCGGACACCGCAGGAGAATGTACATTATTTGACCTGCAGCCTCAGTGAGCCCACCTCACAGCCTCGCCCTGGCCGGACATGGTGGGACTGTTCTCTCTGGACACGGACATCGCAGTTCGCAGACCAGCAGCAATGCAAAGACACCTGACTGAACAGCTGGGACTCATGATACAGAGGGTTCTGAGGATAAACACATCTTTTTCTTAAAGGTGTAACTAGAGTACTGACTAATACGAAAAGGGAATGCATCTTGAGGATCGTAAATCATTTTAGAATGAGAATATGGGTGCTGAGTGAGGAGAGCACAATGGACTATGGTGGAGGACTAAGAGTACTTTGGTGGAAAACTATGGGGACCACACCTGAGGGGAGAAATCCTATATTGTGGGAAAACAAACAAGGATATAAAATAATGGTATGTCTTTAAAAAATTTTTAAATCATTTTAGAATGAGAGCAAAGTATTCAAATAATCTTATTTTCTTTGGAATTTATATATGTAAACTTTACCTGAATTGGTGAAATGAATATTAACTATAAGAATGTGCAGAGTCAAATAAATTTATTACAGAATTTGGAGAAAAAGGGTCTTGCAAAATTTGGACAGTGATGTCTGGTTAAATAGTAAAACAACATTTCTAAGAAGATATTCAGTAAAAAAAAGTAAAGATATTGGTCATTTTAGCATTACTGTATCATGAAGTTTATTTTAGTCCATCTACCACCCAAAATATATTACCTTGAGTGTTTATTATTGGTTCAACAAAATGAACTAAATTGGAAGTTAACCACCTGCACTGTGATTTTTATTTTTAAAATTTTCTCTTTTAAAACATTCCTTTAATTAAAAATTAATGTAACATCACCACAGCTACACTAATGCAATCCTGTGGTTTTAGAGGTGCAAATAAAGGTTAAGCCTCATCAAACGCTACATTTTAAACATGTGCAGCTTATTGCATGTCAGCTACCCCTCCATAAAACTGCTAAATATCTACAGCAGTATCTAGGAAATTATATTAATACTACCTGTTGTGTTCATAGTATTATTTAAGGGAGAGTGTTTCAGGGAAAGGTTGGTATTATTGTTTTATCAGACTGTAAATCTATTCAGCTAGCCCTTCTTTGAGAAGTAGAACTTATCGTCGAAGCAACTGTGATGAAAGGATAATAACATTAAATCATCAGCCAAATTAGAGACAATTGTGAGGTAGGTGAATAATGACGATAAAATTATAATAGCTGCACTTGCTATAAAGCTGGCAACATCACTAAACCTTTACTAAACTTGGGTGCAAAATGCTAGGCAATATCAAAGTCTACAGATTATAAAAAGTCATCTCAGACTGAAAACAGATATAACAAATACTACGTATGACATTTTATTCATGCTTGTTCCAGAACTCCAAATATATCAACTATTTTATAGCTGTAGGAGAGAAATTCCTCTTAAATTTCAGCAATTTAATTTGTTTCCTTCAATGACATTCTCCTGAAAGAAATTAGATAAATTCTTATACTATCTCTTTTCTCAATTAATTTTCACAAGTTCTTTCAAATAAACTCAAGAAGAAAAGAACAACAAAAAATATGTTTAAAGTCAGTGTCATGCCAGCAGGAAAAGACTCTAGGTTAAAAAAGAATTGTCTTGGCCAGTGCTCTCCACCCTTTTCAATTTTTGAATATCATAAACCAAACACCGGATAACCCAGTGTAACTAAAGGGGACTATACATGTAAACAGTTAATACATCTGCTGTTTGAGGTTTTGAACTGAACGGCAGATAAAAATAAAACAGGAAAAAGAATGAGAGTAACAGGAGGGGAAAAAAAACCTGTACTTGCTTCTGATTTTATGTACACACACACACACACACACAGAAATAAGATATAGCATGGGATTTGAAATACCAAAAAAGCAAGAAAACGTGCATTTTATTTAAAACAATTTGCAAAGACCTTTAAGAACACACCTTGTCAAATTCCGTGTGAAGACAGTGAGACGTGTTTGCTGAGGGTGGCCCAGTGTGGGCTGAATAAGGGCTAATTGGCAGTGTTAGATCCTCATGACCTTGAGTGAGTGGCACATGTACTGGCATTTTGGCAGATTTTGATCTGTGGTTATGCAAAAGGAGGGTTTTCAGAAGTTAATCATCCAAAAGGATGAACATCACACAATTCCACTTTAAACTACAAAGTCTTTTGGTCTATAAAATCTTTTGAGAGTACAACTGACTTTATTTAAAAAAATGAATGGCAGACTGGTTAATCCTTACATGTGCAAGGAAGAAAGAATTTACATGATTAAAACATCAACTCAAAATGTTGTGGCTTGTTTTCATGAACTTTGTTCTCTGCCATCACCAAATAACACTGCCTTGAAGAACATGTATGGGCGATGTGGACATGAAAATGACACAAATGTAATAAAGTCTAGAATGATTTTTGGATAATGACTACTCAGCAGAGAAATACAGCAATCATGTTCCTTGAAGAGTGTTTTTTTTTTTTTTTTTTAATAGAGGCATGTTTTTTTTTTTTTTTTGTTTGTTTGTTTGTTTGTTTATACATGCACTGGGTACAGTCAGAAGCGCGGGAGGGTGAGAGAATTCACCAGAGCCAGAGCAGGGAGCAGAGCAGGCAGAAGGACCGAAGTACACTGCTGAGGGGAGCAGCGGGCAGGAGAGGTCTGCGCGCCATGTGGGACCCTCCTCCGGTGGCCGGGGAGCAGCTGGGGATCGAACGGGCGTCGCAGAGGCCGCGGGCAGCTTCGCAACCCAGCGCTCAACCGCTGCGCCACCGGGGAGGCCCTTGAAGAGTTATTTTTTTAACTTGGCTTCAGTGACTTATTAGCAATAAAATCATCCATCTCTACTGGATCTGGAGTGATGGATTATCCCAGTTTTTGTGGCCTCTCCTTACAGTGGCAAATTAATTCTGTCATAGGAGAAAAAGTGAGATGAAATTCAAGTGAATTTTCAAGCTAAGGTGTAACTTGGTGAGAAATCAATACTGTAAATTAATAAGAGTCAAACACTTGTTATTATCTATAGAAACAGTGAAAGTGTGAAGCAGGTATACTGTTTCTGAGGAGTCTGACTTGACTTATTGCAAATCCCCTCCCCCCTTCTTGGCTACTAATTGTGCAACCTTGGGAAATTTGCTCAATTTTGCTAAGTACCCATTTTTTCATCTGTATAACATGAAGAATAATATGTATTCAATAATTTTTGTGAGCATTAATATAGATTTTTAAAATTTTTTAGACTTTTTAATGAATTATTTTATATAATTCTTACATCATTTTTCATTTTTGCATAATGTATGCATTTTCATTTTGGTTATATTACCCATACAATTCCCACCCCCTTTTTCTGACCCTAATCCCTCTTCTTCTCTCCCTTTCCCCCACTGTAGTGTGTCTCTGGTCTATAGTTGCTTGTAGATGATATTTTTAAAGCTCATCCCTGCACATAGTAGAAACACAACAAACAGAAGCTGTTAGCATGTTTGTTACTGTGTCCCTTTATAATTATCACTGGTAGTTGAAAGTTGCTTCATGACCAGCTCTACACAACATTCCCAGGGAGCTTCTTCATGAGAATCAAGTTAGTTTGCAGTTGCAGTAAGTAAGAGAAAATGTTCTACCCCAGAAGCAGAGTCACAGACCTAAGCTATTGTAGATATATCAGTCTTTTAAATGACAATTAGATCTGTTCATAAGAAAAATCTGTCATACTGAAAGATTATAATATACATGTAGTAGATAGAACTAAATGAAACATTGGAAGCTCTGCAGATCTGTTTCTCCAATCACTCATCTGTGTGCAAGACCACCCATCACATTAAAACACTATTTGATATGTCTCAAAGTGATTAATTTGTGCTTAGATGGCATTTTTCTATCTTTCCTTTAGCAATAAACATTGTAATATTGTTTATCAAAGGAATAAATACAAAAAACATTGCTTTGAGATGATGGATAGACCCCCCCCCAACGCAACTACAGTTTGAGGTGCAATTCCTAAAATTCAAATTCTTAGAAAGGGTGATGAAAGAAACTCAACTCTTGAGAAAGCTTTAGTGGCAGCTTCAATCTCAATAGAAAGTTAATATGTTTGTATCTAGTAATAAGTTAAGATTCAAAAGGGGATCTAATAAATAAAAACAAATGGATGGCTTTGAACTGTTAATTTGAAAGTATTAACTTTTTTTCAAAGCAACTGAGAGGATTGTTAAGTTTGATATGTCACAGGAGATTCAAGTAGTCACTAACCCTGTATGCCTTGGTAGGTGAACAATATAATGGAGTCCTCACCTGGGAAGTTGGGGTCTGGGCCCATCTCTAGCTCTGTGCAATCACTGGAGTTGGATGTTGGGCAAGTTCACTCACTTTCTCTGGACCTCACTCTGCTCATTTATTCATATAATGCATGGGGTGAACTAGACTGTCAATGAGGTACTCTCTGTCTACAGTGACTTGTTCCTTGAGTCCTGCTAACTAAGCAATCCAAGAAACATGTAAAATCTTAGCCCTGAGAGAAATAGTATAAAAAAAAAGAAAAAGAATTTAATAGGAATTGTGTCTTTTCATTCAAATGAACAGGGTTCAGCACATAAAGGGCACAAAAAGATAAAGCTTCAGTCAAATTTTCATATTTGCATAGACATTACACAATTGTAGATATCTAAGAATAATTTTAATAATAGACTAAAATGTTCTAATTAATGTTTTCATAGTCTTTTGACTGCCCAATGTTATTAAACTCTGTGAAGAAATTATTTTATATTCTCTAGGTAAGTATTATGTGAGGTAATGCAAAAAGCATCTGATTATAGTGTACACCAGCAAAATGAGAGAGGATAGATGAATGGAAGGAAAGAAGGAAGGAAGGAGGCGAGAGGGAAGTTTTCTACTGGGTGGATTCCCCCTCCACAAATAGAAAATTTCTCTTGCAGATACTAGAGAGTAGCCTGCATGTGTCTGGGAGGATAAAAAGTGACAAGCCCAGAAATAAACCAATAGCTTCTCTACTAAGATATTTTGGTGCTGGGAATGGGGCTTGTGTTCAGACTGTAGCTATCTTTCTTTTCCGTGAAAGTGTTTGTTTTATGTTTGTTTTTTCTTTTTGAGAAAACATATGCCTTATTCAGCCGATCTGCAAAGTGAATATTTCTTCTTATTTCTACTCCCATCTCGTTTTCTTTTCTAGTTCCTTTCCTGTTCTTTGCAGCCCACAGGGAAAAAGCAGGCTGAGTAGGAGGTAAGGGAAGAGTAGTCATTCTACTATGACTCCCTGAGTCATCGCCCTGCCGATCAGCAACTCATAGCACTAGAGGGTGAGTCAGTCCCTCTGTGCCATTCAGAGTCCCTGAAGGTAAAGTAGCAGGTCATTTAGTCTGGTCTTTTCCCACATTGGAGTTATTTCATTGCCACCATCACACTTTTTCTACATGGCTATCAACTATGCTATCAACTA